AGGAAGCTGGGTCTGAAACTGACCAGAGACATTGGCCGGGCTGATCAAGGAGAGAAACCCACACCACACATGGACATTTTGGGGGGGGGGAGAGAGAGAGAGAAGGAGAGGGTGAAGGAAAGGCACACCAATGAGTGGCAAACCCCACAGATGTCAATTTACATCCACAGAGGCATTCCTATCTGGCAAAATGATGGAAAATAAATCAACGTCACAAGTGAATTAAAATAAATGACCTTCAATCTTCTCACAGCCAACTGAAATATTGTGCTTTCCAACAACAACAAAAAAACACTTATCGGTCAAAATCATCATCATCATCATCATCATCATCATCATCATCATCATCATCATCATCATCATCATCATCATCCATAAGCCTTGTGTAGTTGCCTTTTTAAAAATCAATCTCAAACATGCTAAACCCGGTTTAAATGCAGGGTTTCCCCCCCCACATGTAACCACACTCTTTTACCATATCTGTCTATTCTCTGTCTACTTATCTTGACTAAAGAGGTAGCTAACAGTTCTGTTCTTTGTCTTAGAAAAAATGAGATTATTCTCTGAGTTGATTGGATCAGGATTCATCAGACAGCCCTGTTCCCAATTATCTGTTTGGATTATTTATTCTTTTGAGACGGTGTAACCTGTCTTGACCTGTGTCGACCCGAATCCTGTTGAAAACACCTGAGCCCGCTGTGTGAATCGTGGGTGCTATTTTGTGAAATGTGCCTGCTATTTTCACCCCTTGGTGGGTTACACACCTAAAGTGCAGCCCTGTTGCTCAGCAGGCCCCCCTCCCATTCTACAGAGCAATTGTGCAGTGAACACTGTGTGCAGGGGCATTTTGACAGGATGCCTAGCTATCATCTGTACTTGTTAGACAACTTATGCAGCCCGTTAAGCTGTCTATTTATCTATTTCTTTATTTATTAGTTTGTTCCTCTTTCATAATCCGTACTTATCCCATTCAGGCCAGGCTGGTCACTCAGATGCTCCCGATAGCTAAGACTTTTCCTTTTCTACTTACTGGCAATCTCTAATGTCTGTTCCTGACCCTAGTCTTCTTTATTCTCTTCACCTGCATACCATGGTTGATATGCATTCTCAGTGTTGTCCATGTTCCTGGTTTTATCTGGCATTCTTAAAAAAACCATGCACAGAAGCAGAAACAGAACATAAAGGTCACCACCTTGCAGTTGAGTCCTCTATCCCCCCCCCGTGCTCTTCTTTCCAGCCTTTTTACATTGTTCTGTAATGCCATTCTGCGTGTGATTTTGTTGTTCAGAACCCTTGCTCTGGACAGTTATTCAAACAAAAGCATTTTAATATTCCACATTAACTCCGTAATCAGTGCTCGAACGGTGGAGCCCGGTAATAGTCCATAAACAGAGCAAGTAAATTTAGTTTGAAATAAAAATGATTTGCTGCTACTGGGCTCAATACAAGGCACTTGTTAAAGAGAGTTTATGGTAACAATTACATGCTAATGTTTCTGTCCATCCCAGCAACCCTGCGCAAGTTTTCTCCGGTGTGATGGAGGTGGAATTTAATATGCAGCAAACGATGATTCAGTTTAACATCCTGCTGTTTCAACGTCCTGTTGCGAAGGAATGGGAATTGATTTTCTGACACCAGAAGCTTCCTTTATGTATAAGGTCCAGTTAAAATGACCAAGCACCGCATTAAAAGGTTGTCTGTCTCTCATCAATAATCCTTGATTTTCTGCTACCTTCATGGGGATATGCTGATGTGAGCACCTCCCCGTGTCATGCTATGGACCGACAGAGGGCCTGCAGCTCCGGCACCATACTATGTTTCAGGACCTTTTCTTTAAGAGTTTAAAAAAGAGAGAGAGAGGAAAGCAAAGTGTGCCACTTTTATACCCCACCCATCAGGCTTCAAGCACTCTGTGGGCAGTTTACAATTTCAGTGTGCAGGATGCCCATGGCCCTCCCACACCACCATGAGCCGGGGACTCAATTTACCCACTTCAGAAGGGAGAAAGGCCGAGTCCACTTTGAGCCGACTATCTCAGCCCATAGGGATCAAACTCAGGTTGTGAGCAGAGACTTGACAGCAGTACTGCTGTTTAACCAGTGAGCCGTGAGGATACCTTGGAAGTGTACTCTGTTTTTCCCGTGATGGAGCTCCCAGGTCCAGCCTGGTCTACCCCATAAAGGGGTGACACTGATCCTTCTGTTTCATTGTTTTTGTTCTCCTAAGTTATTTCAGTTTCAGAAATGGCTCCCAGTGACATGTGTTTCAGTTGCTACTGTACTTCATCTTGGGTGGCTTTCTTGTACCAGCAAGCACCATCGGATCCATTTTGCTGTTCAGCGTCTTGGAGGCTGTGACCTCTTGGGTAAAAAGACAGTTAGGTCAACCATGGTAGAATGTTTTGGCTGAAAAAGAAAATCTGTATGAGATTTACAGAAAGCACCCATCGTCAATATTAATATTGAGCCTCGTGGTGTGGTGGTTCTGCTGAAGTACTGCAGTCAAGACTCTGCCCTAGACCTGAATTCAATCCCCACAGCTTCAGGTAGCCGGCTTGAGGTAAACTCAACCTTCCTTCCTTCTGGCTGTGGTTGGTAAAATGAATACCCAACTTGCTGAGTTGCTGTAGGACAATGTGTAGCCTGCATAATTAAATTGTAAAATGCCTAGAGAGTGCTTTAAGTGCTACGGGGCGGTATATAAGCAGCAACTTGAGGTAAACTCAACCTTCCTTCCTTCCTTCTGTGGTTGGTAAAATGAATACCCAACTTGCTGAGTTGCTGTAGGACAATGTGTAGCCTGCATAATTAAATTGTAAAATGCCTAGAGAGTGCTTTAAGTGCTACGGGGCAGTATATAAGCAGCAAACCCTCTTCCTCCTCCTCTTCCTCCTCCTCTTCCTCTGCTACCTGCAGCTGGATATCATCCTGCTTGTTCTGGTTTTGGGTGTGCCTGCTCTAAACAGCGACTGGGGTGCTCTCTGCCCCTCAGTCCTCTCCTTGTATGTTATTCCCTGAACCCGTCGCACGGCAGCCAGCTTTGCCAGCCCTGCAAAATGTCCTCCTCTCTCCTTTGGAGATCCTTGTATCTGGTGAATGATAACGAGAGAGAGTCTTCCTGGGCGCTGGGCCGTTCTGAACATCTGGCACCCAACCCAAGAGCCCCCTTTGATTGACAAAGCAGTCCCCCCGAGGAAGGGGACTCTCTCCCTCCCCCAGGCTGAGGGGCAAGCCCTCCATATCTGGGGCTGGCCAGCCCCCAGATGGCTACTCTGCGATCAACACACAGACATTGCCTTCAAACAGCCCCGGGCTGAGACTGGATGTCTCTCGCCATTACACGCTGCAGGATTTTGAGTTCGCCTGGTTCCTTCCGGGCCTGGGAGGAACCATCTGTCCACTTGGAATAGGGACAGAGAAAGAAAGCCTTCTTCTCAGGCCGCTGTGGGGACTGATGCTCCAGGCCCTGAAGGGACAGGTGTGCTTTCTGAGGTCCACCTGGCCTTCTCAAGGACTTGTGTTCCCCACACAGCTTCGGCCCGTGCCAAAGCCCCCGTCGGTACTGCACCGGCAACGTTGGCAATGACCTACCTCAGAAGACAAATTTGTCCTGACCAAGAAGAGCTTAGGGGTGTGTGAGAGAGAGGACATTCAGAGGTCTGTGAAATTAAGAACTGGGCTCAGCCTAGTTTTGAAGCGAGCGTGGAACAATTCGGTTTGCTGAGCGCAGTTCTAAAACGGAGCTCAGGGGAACTTTGCCCATCGCTCGGCGGAAGGAATCCGTCCCAGAAATGTCCTGATGTTCTTGAGGGTGGAGAATGCTGAACTGCAGCTTATTCCATTTAACTTTGAGCAAACCGTGGCTTGAAAAGCAGAGGTTGTATCCCACGCCACCCGTGAGGCTGAAACCAAGCATCTTCTAAGGGTACAAAGATAAAATAAAGGCATGGTATCGGATCATGGAGGACAGGGGATGCTTGCCAAGGGAGGTGGCCTGGCGAGTCGCCGTCCGAAGGTCGCTTGTAGGTCAGCCTGCTTTGCTTGGATTAAACGACCTGCTTAAGTAGGAGAGGCTGGAGCGGCTGTACCTGGCGGTGGACGTAATTGTGCCCGAGATGGCACCGCCAAAGTTCACAGCTGGCTGAGAGAGAAAGCCCTCCTGCCACTGAGCCCTCGCTGGTCTCTCCCTTCTGATCAAGGTACTGGCCTCCAGGGGGGAAGAAGGGAATCTTTCTCTTTTGTTATTTTTAATTGATAAGTGTAGTTGTTCCTCAGCAGAACAGGTCATCTGCCTGTGACCTCATTAAAATATACAGCAACAGGGCTCAATTTAGGGGCTTAATTAATTAGAAGCCACTCCAGGAAGCAGGGGCGTTGGGGGGGGGGAAGGGAAAGGAGGGAGAGGGGACAGAGAGGAAGAAGAGGAGAAGGCACAGATTGTCCCCTGGTAGCCAAAGTGAGCGGGACCTCAAATGTCACACTGCTTGCTTGTTTACAAGATGCACGCTTTAAAAAAAAATCCAGAAACTGCCATGCTGCCTTCATTGGGAAGCACCTTTGCACTTTGCTTTGGACATTCAATGCGCAAGGGAGGGGATGCTTAGCGTCCGACACCAGCCAGGCACCCCTTTGTTCATGATATAAGTGCCTTCTTCTCACAGCAGTTGCGTAGGGAAGACTGGGGGGGGGCGGTGAACAGTGGACTCTCTGGGTCACGAGAACACCAGAAGGGCCATTCACGTGGTTTAGGCATCTGGCGGTGGAGCCAAAGGTTGGGAGTTCGATTCCCCACCTCCTGAGCCTCCCCGGGAGAAAAGCCAGCCTGGGTGGCCTTGGGCAAGCTGCACGGTCCCAGGGCTCCCCTAGTGGAAGGGAAGGGTAAATCACTTCTTCTGAGCACTCTTTATCTAGAAAACCCTACAAAGAGTCACCATAAGTCAGAACTGATTTGACAGCACGTCATGATGAATTTTATTAGCAAATGTTTATAGTTATCTGCTCGGAATAAATTCTGTTATGTCTACTGGGTCTTGCTCATAGGTAAAAGTTACAAACAAGGCGAGCCTCCGAATTCTTCCAGAACGATTTGCTTGTCCGGGGAGAAGAGACGGTAAAAATGATTCTCCTCTCAAGGTGAACCTGAGACCTCCCTTATGATACCAGTTTGCATTCAGCGGTGAGGGGTACGTATCACATCTTGTCCATATTTTTTATTTTGGACAGTGTTTGCTTCTTCGAGCAAGCAGGGAAGAGCTCTATTCACACCACATTGGAAAGAAAAGCAACCTGCTCTCAACTGTTGAATTTCTCACGAGGGCTGTTTAAGCTGTGCTGACACTTGGCTTCCCAGAAATAGATGCTCTCACTCTGCTCCCTGCAGCTGTGAATGCAAAAAGTTGTTGGGGTTTTCTTTTTTGTTTGTATTTTTTTTCTTTTGGGCCTGTTTGGTTGCTTAACAGATATGTAGCTGATGGAAGGATCAAAGAGCAAATGTGACATAACTTGGCTACGTCTCTAGCAAAGCAGCATAAATAAATAAGCCCCTTCTTCATTAAGAAACAAACAGTAAATGTTCCCAGCTCATGTCTAAAACTCAGCCTGTGAGATGTGTTGCCTTTCTAATTTACTTACGTATATATTCTGAGGCCATCAGAAAGGCCTTCAGTAGAACAAACTGTTCTTTAAAAAAAACATATATAAAACCCAGAAGAGACCAGCGTCGGCAACCTGAGCGAGAACGGCATTGTCACACAATTTCAGTAGCAAGGAAAAAAAAATCAGTTCTTCTTTCAGAGAATCCTCTAGGAGCCATACCAATATCCTAGTGAGTTGGGCACCCATAGACTCAGTCCAGGCATGTCCCAAAAACCCTGTTTTGTCATACTGCTGAATCCCTGTATAACTTACAAAAAGAAATGGTCACGAAATGTTGGTTCGGCAGTTCATTTCTTGGCCAAACGGGTATTCGGCTCAGTGTTTATTTACTCGAAATGTGTCCAAGCAGTCCAAGATTCCCTGGAAAAGACAATAATACTAGGGAAAGTTGAAAGCAGCAGGAAAAGAGGAAGACCCAAAATGAGATGGACCGACTCGCTAAAGGAAACCATAGTCTGGAGTTTTTAAGAACCAAGCAGGACATTTTGGAGGTGACTTTTTCCAAGGGCTACCCTATGTCAGAGTTGATTTGACAGCACCTGGGTTCACCAATGCACTCCAAAGGTGTGCGTGCGTGCATGATATGTGTTTAAAAAGCAATGCAAGGAATCCACCTGGTGGATATTTCCTTCTCTCTCTCTCCTACAGCTACAGCATTTTCCCATTGTTGTAACAATACTCCACCCCCTTATGACATCACTGGAGCCCCGCCCTGTGACATCACAAGGGCCCATCTATGACATCATCAGGGACCACCTCCTAGCCTCATCTTTGAGGCCCAAAGTGTTAAAGAATGGAAAGAAGTTCAGCTGGCAGCCTTAGAAGTCATGTGAAACTGGAGTCCAAGACACCAAGAAGTTCCGAAACAGGCGATCTGCCTGGGGGAGGGAAAAAACAAGGGAAGGGCGACAGAGATTTCTCGTGGATGGCGCTTTCGTCCATACACACAACTACTGGGAGTTGTTGCTCAATGGTGCCTGTGTGCTTTCTAACACATCAATAAATAGTCACAGACCACAAGAAGAAGAGCTACTTCGTTAAGTAGAACAAGGTAATGAATTCAACCCAAAGTCACTTTGGTTGGGTGGCTGGGCATCATATTTATAGAGCCGAAATGTACAGATGCATCAAAGCCGTGGATATTCAAACAGCAGTCGCAGCGGCAACAACAAGGATGTTATGTTTGAAGCAGACAGTGAGAAAATTGCCATGTTGAAATCAGAACTGCCAACGCCTCGGGCAACCTGGCCCTTGGACGGCGGATGACAAGGTAGAGACAGGCAGACTCCTAATGGGAGTAAACAGCCTCACGAGGCCATTCTCAGAACCCCGTTATTCCTGCACTGAGACGTTGGCTCTCTGGAAGACGGGAGAACCATTCCTTTATGAAACACGGCACATTTTGGGCATGCTCTCTCTCTTTGTGTGTGTGTGTGTTTGTGCAGAAGAAGTAGATGTATCTAATGACATTTCACACACACACACATGACCCTCTCTGTTTACGAGAGGTGGAGGAAGGAAGCATCAAATGTGAAAAGGCCACTCCTTCCTTGCTCCTCTGCTCAAAACGGTCAGTCTAGAAAAGCTGATGTTCTTTTCTTTCTATCTCTCTCCCTCTCTTCCCCCCCCCCACCTTCTTCTCTCTGTTTTTAAATGCACAGCCTCCACCCGAGACATGCAGCAGGGACCAGTCGGCATTCATTTGAAATGATGCTCATCTCCTGCATCTTGGAACGGACAGGGAAGCGGGTCTCAGAGGCAACGTCCCGGCACCCGTTTGTCGGGCTGTATTTACTTGTGACAGACTTGAATCTTCAGGATGGAATTCCATCTATCAAGTGACATTCCCGGTCATGGTGATGCTTGTCAGGAAACAGGCCATTGGAGGGGAAGGCTGTGAAGTTAGAGAAAGGAAGGAAGCAGGAAGGAATCAGAAGCAGCTGATTAGCTGGGTCCTTTTAAGAAGAAAAATTGGTGGGGGGAGATTTTAAATAAATAAATAATAAATATTTGTCTGGTCTTTAAAGAAACCCCAAGAGAGAATCTTAAAGACTTCCTTGGTCTAGTCTGCATTTGGGTAACTTTATTCTGTTTTAGCAAATGTTTGTTCTGATGCTGCTGTAAAACATCAATTTGTTCTGTTGTTATATGTTTAATAATCCAGAACGTGATTCTACTTCTACGTAATGTGTATTCACTAATACACCTATTTATCTACTTGCGATTTTGCATGCTTTCGAACTGCTAGGTTGGCAGGAGCTGGGACAAGCGAGGGGAGCTCACTCCGTCGCGTGGGTTCGATCTTACGACTGCAGGTCTTCTGACCCTGCAGCACAGAGGCTTCAGCAGTGCCACCAAAGTTTAGATATATATTTTAAAAAATCAAAGAAGGGAAATATTACTGTACTGATATTTATACCCATCCACCCTGGAACTTATAATAGGAGTGCACGTATTCTAACCCTGGGGGGAACAGCCCAGGAAATGAAGAAACTTAAGGTTCTTGGGGCTGTGCAGCTAGATATCACTTTCGGAGAGAGACACCCACGCATGCCACAGGAACAGATGGTCATTCAGACCCTAATTTTCACAGCAACACCCAAGCCATGGACAACAGGGTTGTGGTTCCCCCTGTGTTCTCTTGGGCACTTTTGAAACCAGAATGTTCCTGGCTATTTCTGCAACTGCCGTTGACTAATTTCCAAAAGGTCACATAAACTCCATGTCCAATTTCTTCCCCACTTATTTCTGAATTTATTATTCCTTAGTCTTCATTAGCTTCTCCCTATTTTCGTCCCCTTCCGATCTTTGCAGGACAAACCAAATTAGTAAATTTAAACCCCTTAGTAGCTTCCATCAAGCATTTCTTACACTTTCAGCTGATTTGGATTCTCGATGAAGAATTTGTCCTAGGCCTCTAATTACCCACAAGAGTGGGCTTAATTGCATTTTCTGTCTTGGCATCTGCTGGACGGGATCTTAAATATCTCCTGCAAATGTGCTACTTCGGTTTATTTCAACATGCTTGAACCAGCTGTGAAAGTAGCCTCTAAGTGGTACAAGATGACACAACAGCTGGATGGTGGCACTTTTGTCCCTTGACAGCACAGCTCAGTGATTCAAATAGAGTGATTCAAATAGACCCCTGTATCTCCGGGATCGGTATCCACTGATTCATTTATCCAAGATCTAAAAATATGAAAAATATTTAAAAAAATCTTTAAAATACATATATTTCTAAAGGTGATGTTACCGGAACTAGCCACCAGAGCAATTCATGCTATGTATAGCGTTTGCTATTATTCTTTATTTTTCAGCCTTTGCAGGGTAGGGCTTGGAAGCGATCCCCCACAGATCCCGGAGTCCTTGTGTATGTGCAGGTATTGATCAATGACATGTATGGGAAACTCGTGTCTTTTAATGTTTTGTGGTTAACTGTCTGATGGGGTCTTACCTATCTGGAAGGACGTGCTGGTGGGTTTCTTGCACCACCAAAGCATTGGATCAGATGGAGTCCCTTTTGATTTTCTGGTTATGAACTTGGAAAACGAGCTTCTCTTCTGGTCATCTTGCCCGGTACTGCCAGCTGAAAATACCAGCCTGAAAATGCAGGTAGGTACTTCCTAAAATTGTTTCCGTTAACCAGAGGAGCCTCTTGAAAACACAGCTCATGTATCTGCTGCCATCTTGTGGGGAACCGGGAGGATGAGACAGGCCAGGCGGCTCTCCGCTCAACATCTTTCAGAGAGGCTCCAGTCTAGCAATCTTTTCCGTGGAAGTTAATTTTCAGGGGATCTCCAATATGCAAATCTGGAGAGGGTGGGGGCACCTGAACATCTGAAACTCCAGAAGAGTAAAGACATATTTTCAGGCTACACCAAACCATCCCTGGTTTCAGTTTGCAACGTATGACTTGAAAACTTTATAGAAAACACAGAAGGTTTGGTTAAAAGATATTTTCAATGCTGTCAGTTCAGCTACACCCCCACCCTCCTAATGCTTCTTTGTCCCATCCCAACTAAGATTATATGGGGAAGGGAGTGATGACATGCTTCCTAGCATAACAGCATCAGTGGCCTTAGTCAATAAAATAATACTTCTGGATAGCTCAGTGGTCTGGGTCTCTGTCTGTGGATCCAGAAATTGAGAGTTCAGTTCCCCACTGGGCCTCCTTGACAAAGGCTGGACTTGATAATCCAGAAGGTCCATTCCAGCTCTGCAGTTCTAAGATGATAATGATGATTGACCAGATTCATTAAGGAGCTGTCATCTTTGAGTGCAACTAGTATAAACATATTAAGGCAAACTCATATTTCCACCTGTTACAGTGTTAGCCCTATGGGCATGCAAATCTTTCAGTGCTACATGCCAGAGACATCTGCCTTGAAAACAAAGCAATGTTGTCTCCCACTTGACCAACTACAGGTTGTCCACAACGATACAATTCATTATCTGATTGCACGAGTCTACGTAGCACTTCCCAGTTAATCCAGTTTCCATTGGAAGCACAGCCCCATACAGTGGTGCACCGCAAGACAAATTTAATTCGTTCCGCGGTTAACGTTGTCTTGCGAAAAATTCGTCTTGCGAAACATGTTTTCCCATAGGAATGCATTGAAATCTAATTAATGCGTTCCTATGGGCAAAAAAAGTCAGAACAAAGTCAAATTTGGTTTATAAAGGGTTTATTACGTGCTCTTTAAAGCCATACATATTGTGCAGATGATTTTAAAAATTTCAATCAAAAAACTTTTAACTTTTTAAACATTATAGAAAAACATTTAAAAATCAGCAAACATGAGGCAGGAACAAAAAAACGGAAAGCATTCGTCTTGTGAGTCATCAACCCCATTGCCAAAACCATTTGTCTTGAGAGATTTTTGTCCTGCGAGGCATTCATCTTGCGAGGCACCGCTGTACTGTCAATACCACCTAATACCTTCAACCTTTTGAAAAAAATATTTCCAGAGTGACATAGCGCTGATCTGAAACAGCGCTGCACTCAACAAATATGATTAAAAAACTGAAAAATTGTTCACAGGAGGGAAGACAACAGGTTGTATTATTCCAGTATAAGCTACTGAAGACATCACCATAATTGTCAGAATAAGACGCTCCACAGCTGCCTCTTTGGACTGAAATAGGCGATCCCATGGGCTGGAAAATGGAAAAACAAAATGCCAGCTGAATCAGTATAAAGTAATCCACTCTTGCTAGCTGAACAAAAAGAAGCAAATGCCCATGGAAAAAGACTCAGCTTCTCCACACTTAGCTTTATATTGTTTAGATGCTGGTAAATACTTACGTTTTGACTGTGTCAATTCCAACACAAACTATAAGGTAAATTACAGTGTAGTCACACCCTGAGGCGAGCTTGTGTTAAAATAAAGCAACAGCCTGTTCTTCTTTGGGAGATGGGGTTGCCCTGTTTCTAGATGGGGAATCAGTTGTAGGGAAGCCATGTGTGAGAGAGAGCAAATGCAGACAAATGTTCTCTTCCAGGGCAATAAAATACCACCGTCATTAAAATGGGGAGACTTTGCCCCTCAGCACAGTTTTTCCTAGGCCCAAATGGGACAAAACAAACACCAGTTTCCCGTTTTCATCTCAGTTTGTGATATTCCCCCTCCTCCTCTGTGGAAATTCATGTGACATTTATGTACCCATTTCCTCTCCTGCATGTACCTATTTGTATGCCCCTTTTCAGGCTAACTAAGAAAAAGGTCTCTTTCTAGTTTTTGACATTATTAATTCTGTGACTCTTGGCCACTTGGGAAGTTCTGGGACCCGAAATTCCCATGAAGCAAACTTTCTCGAACTCTGCCCAGTTCACAGACTTTGAACCTCGTTGCCTTGGTGGAATAAAGGTGCAAGCCTTTGACTGGCCAACCCTGTTCCCCCCTCTCACAAAAAGAGGTCTTTGGGGGGTGTCTGTAGAAGAGCAAACATATTCTAACTCATGGCCTCGTCACCTTGCCATTCCAGGGGATCCTAGGAAATATATCCTTTGTGTGGTGATTTATTAATGGCACGTGCCACTGGATGCCACCCTGGCTTCATTTTTCTAGGCTAGCATGGTGATGTTGAATTAGATAGACCTGCCTTCGCAGCGGCCACCCCAGAAATTTGCTTTCACCATGATCTTTATGACCGGGGCAAAGGGTTTGCAGTGGAGTTCAGCCACAGCGTCCGCAGGAAGTGGAGAAAAGATCTCCTCATAACCCTTGGGTTGATTTATTGGCCAGCGGCAGTTTCTCCACCCCTGCAGGACCTCCCCTGCTCCCCAAAACCTGATCCGTTCCCAAAGGGGAGATGGACAAGTTCTTTGTTTACCAAACCATTTTTTACCAAACCATTTTTGGCTCTGCCTCTGAGGAGAGAGGAGGAAGAGGAAGAAGTGAACCATATGGGAAATAGATTGCAGCCCCCAGTAATGGTCAAGAATAAGGACATTGCTTCAAAGAGGAAGCGTCTGAGGAGGAAGTCATTGAAACGATTTTGGGACCAGAGGTAGCCTCTTGCAGAATATTGAAAAGGCGTTGCTCTACTCAAAGGCCAGAATTGTCTTGTTATTTGCATCAAATTAGCATAGTTTTTGACTGCAGCTAATTGAGATACTGGAGCGCCGGCTAGTGGCACGTGGGCCTGCATACCTGACTGTGTGGCTGAGATACACCTCAGCACCTTGTCAATGAGCCACAATTAGCTGCTGAGAGTTACACAACCCTTAGGCAAACATTAGTCGGATTTGAGCGGGTCTTCTGAGGCTACAGGCTCTGCCAGCCTTTTGCCTAACTTTGGTTGAGGTGAAAACCTAGAAGAGGGTTTACCAAATGCAAGGACGGGTCTGTCGGGGGAGACCAAAGAG